ACAGAACCAGGCTCAGGGAGGGGCGGGGCCATCTGCTGTGATTGGTTGGGGTGAGAGAATCACAACAGTCACTTCAAGGCACTTTACACTGTAAGATAAAGACCCTCCAATAATAGCGAGGAAATTATGATTATGATTTCAACAAATTGGTAAGTACAATATATTTTAAATGTTTTTTACGTTTTTAAAATATCAGCATGTAAAGTTATTAGTAACTGTCAAACAAGACAGTACAAGCACCTGAAAGCAAACAGCACACAATGAATGTATGTAGTCGCTATCCACCACCGTCCAGCAGCATAAAGCTGATACTTGGCGCGTGATAAACATTAGCAGTCAGTTTGGTTATGAAAATAAATTTTAACAATGATAGAAATCAAACTTCAGGATTTTAGGATTCGCCTGTCAAAAATAATACACTCGCATACGTTCAGCAAACACAGTGCACATCAGTGCAGCTCTAAGAGGTTTATTTTGCTGGAGGTGACTCACACTACATCACCCTCTAACTGTCCAGATTGGTTAAAACTGCAGTACATTGGAAGGCATAAGACTGAGGAAGTTTACTCTGCATGAGTGCCATCCCTCAGAGCTGGTGTAGGCTCCTGCTGAAGTCTGCACATCCTGCTAGCCGCCTTGTTAACCTAGAATACCCTAATGCTTTCCCCTCTCTTGCTGCTGAGCCACACCGTAAAGTCATCCATGTTTCCATATAGTGAGGAAAGGAAGTAATGAGTGATCTCATGCCATAAATGCTCCTCTGCGGATAAGCTATCTGATTGGCTTTGTCTGCTCATGAACCTTCTGCTCTTGGCTGTAGCATTTCTCAAGAGTCCACTTCAACTGTGGACAAACAGTAACTGTAGTAATAGTAATAATAACTCATTACACTCATTTATTGTCGTTCTTTGAGGGAAATAGAAGGAAGAGGCAGAGAATGTGGGAAAGTAGGACCGCTGCTTTTGCAGGCCACAGAAATGTTTCTGGGTTTAATGGCTGTTTTACATCATTGTCAGCTTGTAAAATGTTTTCTGGCTAAAGCCTCATTTATGGAAGATTCACGTTTTGGAGCAAACAAGAATTGTCAGATATCAGGTACAAGAATTATTATTACACATTAAACAGTATTAACTGTCTAATAGTAACACTGAAAAATAGCCTGTCTGTCAATCTGTTAATTAATAATATGCATATTTAAAAATAAAACATTTCTTTTACCTCTTATTTGCCGTGTGATCCATACACACGATCTGGATGTTTGAAGGCCTATATGTTAACTCAGTGTCACCATCTTGTGGTTGCATAAAACTGCTCAACATCACAAATGTGAGCAACTTTGCAGTGTCACAATGAATATCATGGATTTGCACATGCACTATAGAATCCTTATTTGCACACAAAATGCACAAACATAATCCTGTGCAAGTAGCTGAGGGTGAAGGGGAAGAGCATCATTTTACAGTTAACTGTCAGGTTCTGGTAGGCATGAAAAGTAGCAGAGAAATCATAAAATATGCAATCGTAAAATAATAAAATGTTATTTTGACAGATGGATTAGTGTCCCCTCTTTGTAAATCCAGCCAGTTTAAAAGGACCTTTCTTTTGTTGTA